ATAAAGATACTGAAATATTTACAAAGTGAATGTTCTCAGAAATTGTAAAAATACTTTGTGTAGATTTAAAGATTTTTTTTATAAAGACACCATTATAGACTGAATGCTCAGTGTTTTGAGAAATAAATTATTTCTATTTAGCGACGATATTGCTTGTAAAAAAAATCTGTAGGCTGTGTTACCAAACATTAATAATATGATGATGGAGTACATTATATAAAATACAGGTGTTTTTATGTAATAATAGATGATTTATGAAAATTAACATAATCAATAATAATTATTCTGTAATGATACTAATTGAATAATAGAATAAAAGTATAATGAAATACCGTAATAGGTAATGTAATAATTAATATATGATTAATCTGGAAAAGGGATATGATTTATTGTTAGTACAACATAATCTTTTACTTCCAGACCCCATTTATAATGATTTACTTGGCAAAATAATAATAAAGAGGTCTTACGTATACTTCATTTTCAAGAAACGTCGACTATTAGTAAGTTCAAAAATCGATAAAACTTGCATTGTTACATTGATTTCCTAGCAACACTTGAATGTTTATTTCGATTCTCAAGGGTGTAAACGATTACATCTAATGTTAGTTAAGGGAACTCTACCGACATAAATCTCTAACCGATCGATTATTATTCAGTTACTTTCCAGATCGGTTATTATTATTTCAATTTTAATATTATTTTACAGGAGCTCCGTAAAGGGTTAAACAGACGTAGATCACGAGGAGTTCACCAATTAAAACAACAAATAGCAAAAATATTCTCTAGCCCAAGGGTCGACTGCCTTTGGCGTGTCGATACGAAGCGATCGTTCGCTCCAATGACTAATTGCTTCAAGTCGAATACGGTTGTATAGTCCACCGATCGAACCTCAAGATCAAGATCCGTCGTCTTTTCAGTAAAAGGAGAACCGAATCCAGTCGAACCGCGTTCTCGCGACAATCGTCGGTAGGCGTGTTGCTGGTAGATCCCCGAGACAATGATAAACCGTGGTTGCGTAACAAATTTTCCGTATAAAATGTCGGGCATATCGGCTCGCCGGTCCAGGAACGAGGAAGAGAGAGAAAGAATGGAAAGTAAACTCCCGTAGGGCACCGTTCGGTTGCGCCATGCTTCTCTGAAAGTTCCTCTAGCACGAGAGCTAAACATGGAAGCGGTACACACGGCAATTATTAGAAGAACATTCGATATCTCCTCTGGCGCGGAAAGGCTCGTTTAATTCGCTCCTGCATGCCTTCGGTAAACTGTTAGACGGGCTGTTTAGACCGGCCAAGTCGGCGATCTCGAAAGACTGACAGGATCCGACTGTATCTCGCTTGATTGATCGGATCCTTTTACTGATTTATGCTACCATTCCAGGCGCTGGTTGATAAGGAATTGGCATCGCGGCGAAAAAAGTGGAATGAACGCGAACAACCTGAAAATCAAGGAGTGAACTGACCAATTATTTTGAGATCACCATTAGGGTAGGTTGCTTCGTGTTATATTGGTGGACTCGGCGTACAGAAGCGTTTTCCTTATTTGAATTAACGAAGTTAATAGAATTCTCAGGTTATCGCAGTCAAATATCTATTAATTCTGGAGACAGGAATTCTCAAATAATAGGAAATTCCCTTTTAGGAAAGCATCTACCAAACAACGTGGAAATCATTAATGTAAACAAATTCAAAACTCATTATAAGGATCATTTTTCTGAGCATTAATCCTTTTTCACTCACAGTCAAATGCAGTCAAAAATAATGTTGAATTGATAATGAAAATTGTTTACCTAATAATCTCAGAAATAGAAATTTTCTTTTTCTTTTAGGGAAACGTTTAAAAGATAGTTTTTCAAAGATTGGAATATACTTGAAAATATGATCTAATACAGCAAAATATACATACAAAATGTAGTGTTTAGTAGTAGCAATTTGTATACTAATTGCCAGTCTATTTTATATATCTAAAAAACAAATTAAGATGTTTAAAATTCGTATTCGTATTCGTACAAATTAAGATGTTATAAATTCGTATTTATTTTGATCTTCCCATTAAAAAGCATTAATTTTAGATTCAGTTTTAAGATAAATATTTCAATATTCATTTTTTTTTACATTTGAATATGATTCAAATTCCTAGCTAAGCAAATTTTGATTTGATGTAATATACACATATATGTATATGTATATGTATATGTATATGTATATGCATATGTATAATATTTATATATATATATATATATTTCTTTGTATAATTCAGATTATGTATAAATTTCATTGAATAAATAAAGAAATTGAAAGATGTGTATCTTGTATTTGATATTTTTATTTAGATGTGTAACTACTTTGCACATCGTTTCTTGTAACGACTAGTGGAAGAAAGTCGAAGTACAATTAATTTAGCAAATAATTCAGAGAAGCCAGCCCAATATTTTATACGAACAACCGATGCTTTATAAAACACAATTTACTAGTTTTTATGTTCAAAAATTATTTCCATACAAATTAAAGTTCGTAACCAAATTCCCTCCTAATTTTCAATGTAATTTGGAAAACTCTGTATAACCGATTTTAGTACTTTGAGCGATAATTATAGACAATAAAAGTTCGAAGCTAGCGGAAAGAAAATGTAGCATCGCTTGTAATTATTATGCAACAACGTTTCGAGTTTCTATAAACTGTGAGATGAGATCTTTCGGCAATAGCAGAATCCAGAGAGATACAGAGGAGACGTTAACGCGTCTCTTAACGATAACAGTGCTATCATTGTCTCATGTTCAGTGTTATCCAGGAACGGTATTCTATGAAAAGTAGTGCTGCCTGCTGTGCGTTTAATCTCATTGTCTGTTACAAACTAATACAATGGAGCCAGTCCTTCTTCGAGATCTCTTTGTTCTGTTCGCGGTTTACACAATCGGCGCTATTGAGAGGAATTCCCATGCAAAAGTTAAAAAAAAATCGATTTTTAAATTGAATGTTACGAATGTACGTATCCTTGAGAATGACTCTATGTATCTTATATCAATGCATGAGAAAGTACACAAGGTACATCGTCTAAACTAGGCGGTATATTATTCAAACATATAAGTTAATTTTATTGTTAGTGTCAGAAAAGCATGGAAATGCATGAAACAGGTATAAATGCGTATTTCTAAATTTATAAGATGAATATTATAGGGGATTGACGAAATTGCAAATTGTGTTTAAAATTGTTGAACAGCTCAACTGTTCAGGAATATATTCCGGAAGCTGTATTTAAAAATTCTTTAAAGTAATAAAGCTGAAGACAATTTTTCGAATTCGTACCTACCAGACATGTATGCATTAGGAAATTTCACAGTACATTTGAAAGTGACTAATTAAATCCAGAAATATTTATATTCGTATCCTCTAAATTTTAGTTTATAAAAATTTCAACATTTCTTTCAATAATGATGTTATCATTGGTGAATAATCTTGATGGATCGTACAAATCAAAAGGTATGAATCTGTTATGCCTAGAAACTGCATTTTACACATTGCAACGCATAAAACGTATTGTATCAATGAATACTAAACATACAAAACATATATGCTTCTTGAGCACTGATAATACTAAATAACAAGAGTATACAGATGCAAAGTGAAGTATACACCCTATCGTAGCAGTGTCCAATGGTATCAGGAATAGCAACGATTAATGAGGTTACATCCTGCTTCAAGGCTAACCGATAGCACGATAATCCTCTTATTATGTCGTAGATACATCCAGTTATGTCATAATCCTAAAACTGATTTCTATACATTTTTTTACGTTAACTCGTCTTCCTATGGTTACAGGTTCAACGGTTCAATATCGTCGACGGTAAAAGGTTTTCTAAAAGGGGCTTCAGATATAAAATTAAAATATCAGATATAGTCCATATCATGTGATTTATTAAAAATACAATATTCTAGAGCCATTTTAGATAGGATAACTAGGCAACATAACCGAAAATTAACATTTAAACACAAAACAATAAAATTAGATTTGTCTTATTTCTTGAGTATCATACATTTATTATGTAGGTTTCAGGTAAAAACTTGAAGACCTAAATGATTACAGATTAAGAGACGTCGATTCAAGGATTTCGTTTGAGAAACGTTTAAACCATTAAACGTTCTCAGGAATATTAATATGCATCTATAAATCGGTTATTTTTAAAATCACGATTCCTACAAGCATGTAACTAGAAGAATTTATTACAAAGGTTTAAAATAAAATGCTTGTTATACATCATCGTTGAATCATTTCTTCTCCAAGAAACCATTGAAATTAAAGGAAACCAATGCCATTCAAAGAAAACCAAGACCAACACTAAACAACGATAAGCAATCTAATCGAACGCGCTAACATCTAAACACAAACTTTAACAATGGACAACATCGAAATATTACATCCTTCTTATTTCTCGAAGACCTAAATGGTTGAATGAAATTATCAATGGGTAGATCATTACCGCTCCTCTTCAGTGTTTACGAATACTTCGTTATTGTAATCAGGAATGTTACAAGAATTTACCTTTACCACAAAGGTTTAAACCAAACTAGATTTTATTTAGATAAAATTCTTTTAAACTAAAATGCTTAGAAGAATATCATCATTGAATCATTTCTCCTTCCAGAAACCATCGAGATTAAAGAAAACTTAAGCAACCTAACCCAACGCTAACATTCAAACACAAACCATAACAATAAACAACATCGAAAAATTACAATCATCTCTCAAGTCATTTCCCGACGAATAAATAAATCGAGCCAAAGCTTTAAGACTCGATTTCCCAAATATAATAAAAACAGAAACGCAGTAACAATTATATTAACGACAAACCCAAAAACAATTATCATCGCAAGATTAAACATAAAATTTTGGAAACAGAAACCCTCGTCACTGTTTCCTCTAACGACTCGAACATCGACCACATCAAATTCGAAATGCTAACAGTAATAAAACATGACAACAACGCATGGTGTTTCACTTACTCTTGGACGGCCGAGAGATTATAGTAACTTCGTTGCTGGTGCTGTTGATGATGGTGTTGGTAGAGTTGAGCGTTCGTCGACGGCATCGTCGACACCACCTGGCCATGGTTGTCGTGGACGTGATGCTCCTGGTGCAGATGCGGCTGTAACTCTTCCAAGGATATGAATTCCTGCGGCTCCTGATTCGGATGGAGGAGCTGCGTGTAACTCTGTGCCATTTCTTGGGCCACCATCTCCTGTTCCGATGGTCCACGAAAGCACAGCAGATCTTCCAGCTCCTCCTCCTGACGTTGTTGATATTGCTGCTGGTGCTCTCGGAGGTGGGGCTGCTCTTGGCCGTAATGATGATGCGGGGGATGTTGCCGTTGGTGTTGTTGATGGGGGTCGCAGCTCCTCACGCAGGTGGCATCACCGACCACAACGTCATTCTCCACGACACCACCGCTCTCTGGCAGTAATCCACCCTCGTCTGAAGATGCACAAAGCGTCGCTCTTTTATCCAGATGTTTCGACGACGCCGATGGTTCGAAATGCGACACAAAGTGGTTTGCAACGTGCGAACGACGTAGGATGAAACGCATTCAGGCGTTCGTTGCACCCGAACGTTGCGTCTGGACGTCTTCGATCGAGCCTCGAGAATCTCCCCGCTCGACGGGAATCGTTCTACGACGACTACGTTTTCGAATCTTGAAATCGAAAATCGTTCGACAACGACTGCGAAGCTTCATCTCTGCTTCGACCACTTCCTCGTTTCGAACCGAAAGAATCGAACGGAGTGGCGATTTACGATCTCCTGGGGCCCGAGACAAGATGGGATTCGGGGGCCCCATCTGAAGAAAAAAGGAACGAAGAAGATATTTAAATTTGAGTCTCTCGAATTGGAGTTTTGTCGAAATGTCGAGAGAAATTGATTGCGTTACATAGGTGATATATTTGATCTAAAAGAGTAATTTGGATATAATACACGCGTAAATTGAGTTTGTTTGGTTCTCGAGCGAAAATAGAATTCTTCTTTATTAAAAAATACTCTGTGTTTTGAATTTGATTTTGTTGAACGGCGAATTAGATATTGTAATGTGAAATAATTCAAAGTAAGTATAAACTTTAAATTGTGTAAGAAGGGGAAGAACATGTATATATCATTTTCTGGTGTTTCTGGGAATTATTGTTCCTTCCAATTAATTACGTTCCATGATAAAAACGTACGAGTTCATATTCGATTTTTCTGTGAAATTAGGTCACATGAGATTTATATACATTAAGAATAGAGAATAAAGTGTTTAAAGTATTGTTTAATTTGACTTGAGAACTTATCAAAAGAATTATTAATTAAAAGTATCTCTTACAATTCATATACATATACACACAGTCAGTCGCGTAAGTACTCATATCCTCTATGTCTATTGAAGAAATTTGTTTAAATTAAATTATAGGTTTGATATTTTCAAATGAATTTTTCATTATAGATATATACATATCTACTTTATTTATGTACACATTTATAATACAACATTTATTTGGAGATATCAAACTAATATTTATGGGACTGACTGTAAATACGTAACAATTTTAAAAAATATAATGGAAAATTAACTAAGGAAAAAATTATACGTACGGCAAAGTTATAAAATATAATACGAAATTAATTGAGTTACAAAAGTGATTGGAGAAACAAGTGTAGATCAAAGACTGGAAAAGCTAATGAGTGAATTTTAATGAATAATATGGATGAAAAAGGTGCTAGATCAAAAAAAGGGATATAGGGACATAGAAGATTGAGTATAATTAATTAATTGACGTTCTGTTAAATATGCGCGTGAACCCATATACCTCGAAAGAGAACATTATTATAAATAAAAAATATACAGTCAGTGTAATAAGTATTCGTACAGGAACAATTTATTTTAAATGGAGTGCTGTACGAATACTTTTTACACTGACTGTATGTAGTAAAATAATTTCAAATAAAGTGCAATCTTGCCTCTTCTCTCAGAGAGCATAGCATCTTGAATGACAAACTGTTTATCAGCTTTTTTGCTGTGAAATTTATATCAACATAAAGGTTAGAAAATACAAGGGACAAAGACCAAAACTTTGCAGTCTCGAAAACAAGCAATAATTCATTCTAAACACTTAAACTTTCAGACGTCTTCAGTAGGTATCTGTAAATATCACAACTGTAATATATTTAATTATTTAAAAATTGATAATGTTGCATGATGTCATCTAAATTATAAAATCATAACAGAAGACATCTTGTTGGAAGGACTGTAAGAAAATCGCTCTTTCTAGGGTTTTTTCTATACTGAAGATGCTGCCCTTCGGGAACTCCCGTCTTTTGTTTCTTACTTCCTATGTTTTCTATATTATGTGTTTTCTAGCGTTTTTTATCGATGTGTTTCTTACGTTCAAGAATGTATATAATTTTAATGTATAATCTTTAATGAAACTATTATCGAAATAATAAAGATCAAAAGGTGTTTTAGTAAACTTCAAACAACGCATCTTTCGTCAGGAGACATCATACGTCTATCTTTCTCAACGTTAACGCAGCGAAGAAACAATGATCAATTCCACGACGCAAGATTGAATAAACATCTACCGAATAGATTAGGCTACTGTTGTAATAAGTATAATCACTTCTGGGGACGTAACAATTCAAACGTCGCGCGAGAATCCCGAGCGTCGTTGCACGTGTACAGTCAGCCTTTATGAATACGGAATGTGCACAACGTCAACTTTTCAATTCTCGGGGCGGTGTTGATACTGACGCAATGCTTGTTGTCACGTTCTATCATATGGATACCTAGGAGATCTGAAATCTTTTACGACGTACTTGAATTTATACGCGTCGAATTCAAGGTGTGGGAAGACCATGTTCTGTTGAAAACTGTTTACTTAGGACAGATAATGAAATTTCTTTGTAAAATTAAGATTTTATAAAAATTTCAGAAAACTATATAGGGAAAAATAATACCCAAGTAAAAATTACACAGAGATGATCGAAACTACAAAGAAGAGATTAAGATCCAAATATATAAATGTGATGAGTAATGTAATGTAATGCATCTGTAAAATACACTGTATTGTTTCATTGTAAATAGCACTCATAATCTTGTATTATATTTTATGCTCCGTAATTGTTACTCCCCCAATGTGTTCATCAAATGTGGTGGTTTATTGAAATAACTTTTAAAATAAAAATACTATGTACTGATGAATATATGAATATTTGGACATGATGTAGTTTTCGATACGATCCAATTTCAAACAAACTATATTCCAATTACAACATCAGCTATGTGTTTTCCTGTTAACAATTAGTTTTGAAACTCAATACACCGTTTGTAATCAATAGATTGTGCATGTTTATATGCACTTAATGCAAGTGAAAGTGTGGGAATATGCATAAATGCAAAAATATATAAAATATTAACAATGAAATAGATGTCACACTGTTTAGAAAGTAAAACATACTTTCACTTAAATCTCAATTCTTTATCTGAACTTGTAAAAATATGAATTTGCATAGTCTAGTATCATTATTCTATAAGTCGTATTCGTATATATATAAATATTCTAAAAGTTGTTTATTCTTTATTCGTTATTTCAAACTTTTATCTAAATAGAAATTTCCCTATTATCGCACGTAGAAATGACCAAAATTCTTATCTAAATAAAAATTTCTAGTTATCGATTGAAAAATTTAACTTGAATTTCTAAACCAATTTCTATTTCCATTTATGTTATATTAATATGTAACTATTATTCTATATCATAGTAATCAACGATTAGTAATCACAAGACATACTGATCCGTATAACAAAAAAAAAAAAAAAATCGTTGCATTTAGGTGGAGGTGCAAAGGGGTTAACAAGCACCTGCTTGAATGGACTCGATAGACGACGAAGGCAATTAAATTTTCATGTTAACGGTGCCCCGTCGTCGAGAGGAGACAATGAAGATTAGAATCATTAGCGTGTCGGAGGCCAGGTAACAAATTGACGACGAATCAAAGAACCGTGAACATGTTCTATGGCGAATCGCACGGCTTCATCCGCGCATTAATTTTACCTCTGCGGCTGACAGACAATTTCGTATTTTTATGACATTTTCTCAGCGCACGTGCTAAGTATGAGCGACGGCTCACGCGTGAACGTGCTGGCTATCTGCGGAAGAGTATGTCTCTGTCGATGCAACACTTTGCCCATTCATAATTTCCCTTTCGAAGCTCAACGAAACGATTTTCGAGAATGCTACTTAACGTTTTGAAAACAATTCAGGTTAGAAAAAGACTGGACAAGTAGGTGTCATGATCAATGTACTTATGACTACATACTCAAATGAAATGAAACAAAAAAAAAAAAACAACTCAAGTTGATTCAGGTAGGAGTAGATCAGTGCTAGAGATGGACCAGGTAAATAGTTGCTAAACCACTTGTCGAAGATGAAAGATTTTCCAAAACAGACTTTAAGATTGATTTTTCATAATAAAATACTCATGTCAATGTAGTTGTGATGGACACTTAAATAACATCACCTTATAGGTTTAATTGTAATAGTGTACATATATCTTCATCTAAAAAAGAAAATGATAAAGCACCTTTTGGAAAAGGTATTTGGAATACGTGTACGAAAAAGTGGTGTGATTTATGAGTTTTTCAATTTTTTACGTCATTAACCCTTTGATTTTTGGCTGGAATTGGTTAGCTTAAAATAATCGTTACTTATTAATAACTTTTCTTTCTTTCTGTAGCTATGTCGAAAGAAAGTAAAAAGACCTACCTTTAATTGTAAAAATTCGGAACGTGGAAAAATTGTTAACAGGAGAATGCGATTTCGTAGCTAGTTAGAGAGCTGAAAAACATTTCATCTGCTATTCGATCGTTTGTTAAGATACTCATCAGCTTACGAGATATTACGGGACGAAGACCAATCCACTGCCGTTTCGTCAAATATTTATCACGGTATTATTGTATGAAATTAAACGATGACCTACATAAGTTTTTGTGGTAGTGAAATAACATTTTTCTATTCGTTGTAAAGTACTGTAAAATTCGTGTTATATGAGTTCAAGGACCGTGGAACAATAATAACACTGTTTGCCCAAGATGATGAATAATATACAATAAAAGAAGTCGCGAATGTACCAGAGCATCGTATTTTACATTACATAATTATCATGCTCAAACGGTATCATTATTGTTCCAAAGTCCTTATTTCAGAATCTTTAAATAACTACACGTGTATTAATATAATGTTATCTTTTTTTTTAATCTTTGAAATATACATAATAGTATTAAGTATTATATATATTATAAGTAGTATATAGTATTAAGAGGTAAGCCTGATTACTTTAAAGTTAGTCATTTTTTTTGTATTCTGAGGTAAACTTTATTTTTTCTGAGCGTACGAAGAAGTTCTTAGGAACTTCCTGCAATTGGAGGTGGGTAAAATTGTATTCGAGTAATTGATATAACAAATAAAACGAACTCAGAATTCCTGAAATATTTAAGTCTTCTATAATCAAAATTCTAAGGTTTACTGAACGAATAAAGGAAAAATAGTTGTTCTTTTTTAAATTCGATATTAGAAATTTTCATCTAGACATGAATTTTGTCGAACTCTGTCTATGTGGAGAAAGATGCTCAAGTTTATTTTAAACTTCATTGGTATAAATTAAAGCAAATCAGTTATCACTAAACTGTGGATGACGAGATGAAACTTTTGTTTATTCAGTTTAACAGTTTATTCATAGGATGATTAGTTTTGAAAATAAACATTGAAAAGTTAGAAGTTCGTTGAACAAATTTAATTTCAGAAAAATGGC